CTTTCTATTCGATAATTAAATCGGCCGAAACAGCGCAGCGTTGATCCAAACCTCGTTACTGTCGACACTCCATTATTCTGTCGAATTTATAGCTTGGCTTAAAATGGCTGCTTAGTATTGTAAAAGAAAATATTAATTTGCATTTTTCTTTTACACCGCAAGACATTTCTGGGAATTTCCATAAAATATTACTATGAAAATATCAAAATTTTCTACATATTATTTCATAGTAGTGATTAATTTGCATGCTATTTACATAATTATATTGATTGTGGACAACCAAAGAGACGGCAATGATAATAATGCGGCAGGACTTCAATCAAACTAATGATAGCACGTTTTAACAAATGCCTGATAAATCAGAATACAGCCAGATTGAAAGGCTATCTGCCTCATCGATGAATCTAAAAACAGATACAATTTGTCGCGAAAAGCTTGTATTTGGACCAAAAGGTATAAGAGTGTTCCTTTATAATAGAATCCTATGTGGTGTCGTAATTCATCCGCCTCCCTACGCTCCATTATAAAGCAATATCGAAAAAGACGTATTACGTTCAGCATGAGTCAGAGTTGCTTACAATAGTGTCACTTTAAAATTTAGTCTTGGAGACGAGAAGTTTCATAGTTCGTTAATATTTTATTGTTACAGCTAAAATTGGTTCTTGAGATTTTTATGAGATGTTTAGCTAACAAAATCATTTGTTTATTAAGTATGGCATATGGTTTTATGTAATTTATTATTTGTTACAATGACTTTTGGACAATAAGGTCAATATCTTCATATCAAAGTACAGTTTTACGTATAAATATTATAAATGTCAATATCACAATCGAAAGAGAAAACTAAAGAGAATATCGAAGAATGTTTTATTTATAATCTGAGTTTACTTTATATCCTTACTTTCTTATAAGTCAAGACTGTATGTATATAAATTTTTAATGTTTTATTCAAAACCTAAATTTCGTTCTTGAAAATTTGTAGAATTTTGATTAATAAAATACTAAGATATATAGAAATTAAAAAAATATTATCACAAAATCATTCAATACTATTATAGGAGGTCAAAGATTGCAAAAAATATAAATTCCTTTGAAACTTCAAAGGTCAGAGAGTTCCCTGTACTTCTAAACGTTCTTGAACAGCAAATCAAAGTGGATATAAAACTAATATTTTTCTTGCAAAGTTTGTGTAAGCCATGGTATACGAACGATGGATTGGCCTCTGCTGTTTATCTAAGAAACCTCGATCTTTAGGGTTGTCAAATAAATTTACGAGGGTTGGCTCTAATAAATACATAAGTAACCCAGAAACTTTCAATCATATTACATCTTAAACAATTTCATTTTTACATTTTTATTATTTTAGGAAGAACCTACTGTATAATGTTTTTTGGTATTTTTTTGCTTAATAATATTTATGTTTACAAAACAAACAAAGCACAACAATGCAATTTATCTTCTGTGATTGTAATAATTCAAGTCATAGTCAACAGATGTCAACCCTAGCCTGGGGCTGGAACGATATCGCGAATTATTTATCGCCTCTGATTGAGTTTGCAATTTTGCAATGAAAAGCACTAACCAAATAATCAAAGATAACAGCCTATCCTCCCGTGAATTCGCATTCCCAAAGATTACATTTAAACTCAATTGTAAGTTCACTCATTCTATAACTTGTAATAAATTATTATATCAAAAGTATCCTTTTTGTTCGGTTCTGTTGTGATAACGGTACATTACTCTACAATAATCTAAAAAAACATTTATGTTTCTCTAGAAACACATTTTCCTTGTTCCCTATTGTACAACATTTCATTCATTTTACTTTTAAGCACTTGTTTTGCCGGAAGTAAGACTCGGTTGTGTCATTATTTTTCTTCTCGCCGCGGGATTGTTCCGATATTTAAAACTTATCAAGTATAGAGTTTTATTTGTCTTGAGAAATATATTTTGTGAGCAAACTGGATATTATATAAAAACATACCTAAAACTTTTATTCTTTTTTTTCATCCAAATATCGACAGCCAATCAGATTAACTATTTTTCATTAGTGCATCACATTCATGTGTAAGATTTTGTTAGTATTATTACTTATTACTATCATGTACAGGAAATAAAATCCCATTTTATTTCTACATGTACATTATTCAAAACAACCTACATATATATTACTAAATGAAATTTCCTTCAAATGTAATGCTCGAGAAAAACTCTAGAGTATTCTTTTACTTTTTTGAAGACAGAATATTCCATTCTTTCAATATCTAGATATAATTTCCAAAGCAACAGAACGAAACACCTGTGTAAATTCTGTTAAAGTGAACGGAATTGGATTTAGAAACTGGAATCGAACGGCAAACGGGATTCAATTCCAAGAATAATAGCATAAGAGTTTTTAAATATGTTTTTAAAATGAAGCAGAGAAATGATTTAAAATGAATTAACATGTGGTTATCACAAATGCAATATTTTATCGATTTATTTCATAAAAACTTCAAAAATAACATTATGCATGGAGCCTATACATTATTCATTTCATTATTCTTGGATACTTAATACAAATTTACATACTCTAATGTTATTTTATTATTACAACTAGATTCATTTCGTTAAAAAAATAGTTAGCTCCTGTACTATAAACGGGTAGGCACCGGTCGAGACCTATCAGCCTTCCAGAATATTGACCCCTACCTGCAAACGAGTGTGAGTGCTTAATACCGAGTACAGTCAGAGAAAAAAATGTGATTCATTGTGGTAGTTTTTGAAATTGTTCTTCTGAGTCAAGCCTGATTCAATCATAGTATACTCGTTAATATTTTTTTATAGCAATATAAAAAATATACTTAATATAAACGAAGAAATTATTGAAATAGGAACACAACTTTATGTATGATCCAACTATATTTAATAAGTTTTATGAAGATTAAAAATAATTAAACAGGTTGTTTTATAAATCGTACGTTATCAATCACTTTGTATTTCATCCGTACCTTTTTATACGTGCTTGCGGTAGCTCTCATATGTAGGTACAACCTAGATCTGCCCATTTATCAACGTTTCGTGATTAAAAACGGTTCAACGACAAAATCATACTGGAAATTAAAGAAAAAGACGAATCCGTTTACACTTTTCTTTTAAATATAAATTCAGAATCCTGTAATAAAAATGTTATGATAAAAGCAAACAGTTAAAACTTGGATTTACAGATGATCAAGTAATAATAAGAAGTTATAACTATAACTGGTTCTAATATGTTTTTATATTGTTGTATTATTAAATTATTAGTAACATATTAATTAGGATATTACAGCTAATTGAGAAATACCAGAACATTGTGGATAGCTGCGAAATACTGCGGTGTCCTAGGTATACACCGCAAGGTATGACCTAGTAGGCATGATTAATTTACATTCGAGATTCGATTGATGTTTCTATATGTATGTACATATGTACTTGAGTTTTCATATATAGTGTAAGGGCATATAGCTATAATGTCACCATTGATGAATGTACAAATTATTACATAATATAAGACACAAAGAAAACTATACACTTATTCAATAACATCGCCACGTACTAAATTGTTTTTCCCTTCATTTTTCGCAATAGCCTAAAACTCCTGGACTATAGCGTGTAGAATATTTGAATATTTATTACTTGAAATTGATTGTACGATAACTTTATGCAGCGCAGAATAAAACTCAATCAGCTTCTGCAATGGAAATGGTGGTCATCTTTTAGTGAAAGTATGAACGCTACATGACATACAGTGGCGAAGTATTTTCTAATTAATCATTTCGATAAAACATTCAAAAATCTAATGATTTTATTTAATATTATAAAACTTCTATTTAATCAAAATTTCTGAGTTCAGATTTCTTTTTTAATTTTACCTATGAAATAATATGATTTTGCTTAGACCTGATTTGTTTGTGACTGCAATAATTTAAGTATATTTTTGTTTGCTATACCTATAGAAAAGACTTATGAGATAAAGACGCAGATGTTCCATATACTCAGACGAGATTAAAGTAAGAATATCCAAGTGAATATTCGTATTTATGCGGATTGAATTGAATGTTTTATAATCATTGTGAGAAAAAATCACATCAAATCTTCGAAACAAGCTGTAGGATTGACGTCTTATTTATTGAGACACAAAAGATATATATTTAGAAATAAAGCCTTTTTTATACAAGAAGAAGAAGCAGTTAATCCACCTGTTCATAAGTGATCACAAACTTCTGTAACAGTTTTAGATTAGAGATTAACCGTAATTATATCAGCTACTAGTAAGCACTATATTTTAGATCTCAGAGAAAATCAAGAACTTACATTTCGCTTATTATTGAACGGAAAATTTTTAAAGATTTTTCAAGACTATTCCATCAGGTTCTATACATTTTAATAGTAGTCAAAACAATACAAACAAGTCGAAAGAAACAACAAAATAATCATAATTAAATTACAACAATAATAATACCAAGAAATTTATATAACCTTGAAATTTCTGCAAATGAATTTATAAGTTATATCAGTTTTCAAATCATTGTACTCTTATCAAAAATATATCTGATATCTACACAATGACACATTCAATGTCAGCGATATTAATTTTTCATACGTATATTAACCGCATAATATTTTCAAAATAAACAAATATATGAAATTTAAAATAAAATCCCCGAACATTTTATATTTCATTAACAAAAATTATACATGATCGATCATAATATAATCCATAATTCAAGATTATTTAAAGACTGATTACATGCAATAATATTTTAATCCCAAGATAATAATTAGTATAAAACTATCGATTTTAAACTATTAGAAGTAGTTCGTTAACGAAAATTTAATTAAAGGTAAATTATAGTACATATTCTATAACATAATACTACATATTGATAGTAATTGATTTGTAAATAAATATTTTTCTTTGTTCTGTTTCTCGAAAGTATAAAAGCGTATTTAATTAATGTGTCTATTTCAGTGCAACAATGAAGTTCTTCATCTTTACCGCCGCTCTCGTCGCAGTAGCCATGGCTGGTCCCATACAGCCAGGGGAAATGGGACCAACTCCAATCGAAGACTTGGACTTTGACAGCCCCGCCTATGTCGGACCAGCTATCGTTGAGCCGAAACAGCCTGCACCAGTTATCCAAATCATTTTAAACGTGAACTCCCAAGGCCAAGTGGAAATTTCTCCTGAAATTGTCCAAGTCCCTGAAGAACAGGAAATATCTCCAATTCCAGTTCCTGAGCCCGCGTTCCCATCACCTCAACCGGCACCAATCGTTATTCCTGAACCCGCGTTCCCGGAGCCACAACCTTCACCGGTCATTCAAGAAGCAGATAGCCTTAATTAAGTAATTTAATATTTTTTTACCTTTAAAACTATGATTTGAACAATATGAAGTGTTTATAATTTCTTTATATGTAATATTATCCTAAAATCAAACAAAGTCAGTGAGTTTTATAATTGAAAACATCAAAATATGCCAATAAACGTTCAATAGCAAGATTCGACTTCCTTATTATTTTTATCGCGAGAGCGCTGTTAAATTTTATTATTTTAATAAAACCGTATACAGCCACTAATTTTCCGGATTGAATATAAATTTTATCTATATGGTTACGGTATAAGATTTCTTGAGTCTTAATAAAAATAAAGATATCAATTTCTTTCAAAAATTTCATTTCTTTCAAACAGATTTATAGACTCAAGATTCATAACATATATATTAAAATAGCGTTTTGGAGGAACCTACATTAAAAATAAAAACCTTATAACTTTACAAATATATTCTTGTGATTGAAATTTCATTACTGGAACTACATATATGTACTTGCATTGTTTATTTAAGTAAGTGTTATTATTAAAATGTTTGTGCAAAATAGCAAAAGACGTACGACTATAGAATTGTAAAACAAAAGTTGAACAAAGACTCAATTTTGGTACATATTTTTTAAATTTCTTAATTAATTTGTTATTGTCGGTTCTGCAACTCAATATTTCTTGTACAAAATTATATTTTCCATATTTTTCTTAAGCCCTTCAGCTTGGCAGATATGTCTAAAGATCAATTTTTTGTCTTATGTTGATGGATAAATTAACGTTGTTTCCTCACCCCTAATTGCTATGTTGTTAAACTAACAAAAATCATTGAAAAAACTGATATATTACATGAGATCATCAAACTTCAGTTTATTAGTGAGATATAGCAAAATCCTTAAAGTTTATTCACATTCAGATACAACTATTGGTCACTGAAGAATGAATACTAACTTTATATGTAGCTCATATCACTAATTTTTATTTTAACACTTAAATTAATTTGTAGCTATATATCCAAATTAATAAATCTTGTGCTATCAATCATTGATTAAGCAGCCTTTGAACTATAAGTTTGTAACAACTGTTCTAACAAAAAACATTCTTAAGACTTTAGACTATCCTCTTTTACATTCATATACAAATATTTACCTATGAACGTACCTAATGTTTTTACTTATTTTATTGATTTACGTTTTCATGCAAAATTTTCATACCCACTTTTATATTTCTTTGAAAAATTGCGAAAATATATATCCTAGATATTTATTTTATTATATTTTCTCTTTTAAAAAATAAACCCAATAAATCAAAGTCCATATATATAGTAATTAAAGAAATATCTCGATAAACATTAAAATTTTTAACACTTAATTATTTGAAAGGAATATTTGAAAAACGTTTTTTACTAATTGAAAAAATATAGTTAAATTAAAATCCCAATATCAATGACTACTCGTATTATCACAAAATCGTTTCAAAGAAGAAAGTTGGAACTAAAACGTTTTCATCAAAACACTTGTTAATAATAATTTTACAAGTCTTAGTACAAATCTGACAAAATGTACCAATGTGAAAGGTCGAGTTAGTTGAGAGATAGTTTATCTCACAACAATTAATGCATTTTGTCCATTAATACTGTTTTTTAATTTAAATCTCATTAGCTCTTGATAATTTGTATGATTATAAATTGTATGATATTATATTTCTTTGTTTAATGAAACTTATATAATTTAGTGTTATTATTATTGTCAACTTAATAGTATTTCTTAATTTTGTCTTTGTGTGTTATCACTAAAATTTATTGTACATTTGAGCTTGTGTACGTGCGCGAGTAAGTGTGAATGACTTTATAAGTAAAAGGTCTTTCGAATCTAAAAAGTATAATAAATAAGTTTTAGTTTAATCAATATAGAATTATCCTCAATTTACTTTTTTCGAACCGTATAAGATCTTTCACCCAAAAAGTAAAAATTTATGAGTTATTAAAGAATTTTTAGTTTTAAATTATTTGGAAAAACGTCGAGAATCTATTTATCACGTCACATTCCGTATTTATATCCTAAAAAAAGATTGAGAACAACAAAAAGTGGCTAATTAGAAACATAAATAAATAATGCTTATTTATATTATAAACTTTAAAGAATATATGTTTGTAACTGTAAAGACGATTGTTGGTCTTTTACACAGAAACCACATAACCGAGTTTGACGAAACTTTCTTGTGATGTAGCTAAGACATCATAGCAACATATGGGCGATAATTTATCCCGGAATGTCGTGTAGTTCCTATGGGATCACTGCATAACAGTGGTATTTTGTATTAAGTCACATGACACAGATGATAGATAGCGTAGTGGCTGACATGTTTATTTGTTAAAGAACACATTTGTTTCCCTACGAATCTAATTTCTAAGTCCACGTGGCTAAAGTCGACGGTAAAAACTGACACACAAATGAACAGGTCTCTAAATTAACATGCTTTTAGCTATTCGTATCTATTTTTGGTTGAAATTTACAAATATAAATGTCTAGTAACATTTTATAAATATCACTTTGGGAAATTTTAATAATATAATCCTCTGTCTGCGATAGTATAGGGACTTAAAGCACATCATAAATCTTTATTCCGATTGTTTTTATCTTAGCACTTTAAATCCTAAGTCGTTACGTAAACGAGTACGTATACATGACCTTACTATCAGTCTTAATCTTTTAAGATACGTTATTGTACCAAGAAATACAACAAGGACTGATTGTTTGAAAAATGCCTATTTATATATATTAACAAAAACTGTTTTATATATGTAGATTGAAAGTATATCAAAATTATTTATGACCAATAACTTTATTTTTTATTGTTTCTTACAATATTAGCTAAACAGAGATTACTCTGTGAATTTATTAAATATCTATATAACTTTTTTTGTAATATCACTATTACACATTCATAACCACCATTTTCAGAAGACACTCGTACATACATACATATGTAAAAAATTAAAAAAAACAATATTTTAATGTTTTAGTATAAAACTGTATCCAAAATCTTTTTGCAAAACTATCACGTCTAACAGCTAATTTTGATACTGGTCAAATTAACAAAGGTTTTAATTGATATTTATATAACCGGCTTTTAAAGTCAGTGGCCTTCAATAACAGCTGGAATTTTTAGGAAGCTGGCTGATACAACCAGGGTAACGAAGTGATTAGAGAAATATTTTTAGCAACTTAATGCCAGTTGTCCGAGTGGTAGAACCCCTAAGTTCCCCTTCCTCCATTCCTGGTCCAACAATTTAGTCCATTCCTTTTCCTATTATATATATTACGATTACACTATAATAAATTATTCAGCAGACGTTTATGACTAGTGGCAACCACAGACTTAGTTGTCAAATCCATAACCAAACAATACTTAAAAAACATTCAATAAAATTGCTACGATGTTATTTTATTATTAAATTACCGAAAGAAACTACAGGGTGCGCCAGAGAAACTTACTTATTTGAAAGGTCAATAAAAAAAAAGTACTTCAGTTATTGTTTTAATTTTTTTTTTATTTGAGAATACAATATCCCAATTTTTTTTTCATGCAGTCTTAAAAATGATATCGGATAAATGGTGACCCCCATTGCGCATACACTGATGAAGTCGATTTTTGAAATTCGTATCCACTCTTCGCAGCATATCAATCGGTATGTTGGTAATGGCGTCGCGAAAGTTGTTCTTGAGGTGTGCTATGGTCCGTGGTCGATCGACATAAACCAGGGAAATGTGGAAGTGAGCCTCGTCACTGAAAAAAACGACCGCGTCTTCAGGCAGGTTGTCAATCAGCATTTCACATGCATTTTGACGGGCAACAAAATCGCGTTCAGTTAATTCTTGCACAACAGCCAATTTATAGGGATGAAATTGAAGATCTTCATGGAGAATTCGTCGAACAGTGGTATCAGAAATTCCCATAGCAGCTGCGTGTTTGCAAGCCGAACGCCGGGGAGAACGCACAACTGACTGTCTCACTCTTTCGATATTTTCCGGAGTTCTGATGGTCTGTTGAAGTTTAGCGTTTAGCGATTTCGCGACACTTCCATACTCCCGAATTGAGTTAAACCACGACAGAATCGAATTACGGCCAGGAACGAGTCTGTGAGGAGGAATTTCAAAGCGAGCGCGGAAGGCACGTTGCGTAGTAACAAGTGAGCGACCGTTAGAAAAGAAGCTCTCAACTGCGAAGGCCCGCTGCTCTCTAGACCAGAGCATGATGGCAGCTGACTGGAGGGAGAAACAAACTTGGGAACTTCCCCCTCCAGATGCGCCCCCTCTTGCCCCTCTACCCGCCAAACTCACCGCGCGGTAATGTTTTTAAATAAGTAAGTTTCTCTGGCGCACCCTATATAAAGCCCAAAGACAATTTCTTCCAAACAATTCATTTATATACATATGTACGAGTATATATCTTTTTTTCTTTTCAATTTAACGATAAACTGAAATTAATAAGAATAAAATTTACTACTTAATTCAAATAACGTATAAAAAGATATTGTGAAATATCTTTTATAAAGTTACTCTTTGAGAGATACAGTGTGAGACTTCTCCGTGTAAGGAGCCAAGGTAATGACCACGCCAATTTAAATTTAAGGTTATTCTACCCCAATATATATATATAAATAATAAAATTGTCTTAAACGTAATTCTTAAAGTTATTTTTGTATATAATATATTATTACAACACCAACACAACTATAGAAAAGGATTCGTCGTGATTTCTTTATGCAACGATAAAAAAATTGCAATCTAAATATTATTATCAAGGTAACTTCACAAACAGATACAAAACTAAGTTTGTTAGTACAAAATTATTAAGAGCTACTCAAATTATTTGCGGTTTCAACCAAAATTAAAGTAGCCGATTGCCTAATGTTCATTCTTGATTATATGCTAGATTTGTTATTTAATTTGATGGAGGATGAACAACAATACACTTTCTTAAGATAACAGAGTTTCGAGTTTGACCGAATCTTAAAGTTTGTCTCGATAATTTACATATTACTTCTTTTGTACCTCAAGAAGCAGGACCATTTTCCTTTTTTTTAAAACAGGCAAGTCAACTATGTCACAATATTTCAGTCTCCTGCTACGTAATAATACCAAAGCGGTTTAGTTAAATGGTTTGTTACTCTGTGTCACAAAAATCTAAATTAAATTACTTCGTTTAAGTAATCTGTAAAAGAATTATATATATATATATACAATATGTATAAATTTAATTATGGCTTCATCCACACTGGCAACGGAGAATATTTTGCCAATGTCAACGTTTTCATTTGCTTGACGGATCTTCAATATTGTGTGGAGGAAACATGAAAGAGTTTCTGGAATGGAAAAAAGGCGTTTTTTAATTTTTGTTTTTATGCTCTAACAAACATATTGAAACACCAAATATTCAAATTTAAAATCTTCTATATTTTCTTAATTACTCACAGAATAGTTAAGTATATCTGCACCCGAAATTTATCTGAAAGAAAGGAATGGTCTTTATATAGTATTTAAATTTAATTTTTATCGATATTATTCCAATGATGTACTTTTATGTTATGGCCAATTATATGGTCAAGTGATACATTGATAAATAACTCTCTTCTTAACAACTTCTAAATTGTAAGAAAGAAAAGGATAGGACTATTATATATGGTAAGCAGAAAACTTACAAAGATTTTCAGGACTCCTATCCAACGAAAAGAAATATATGCAAAAACAATTAAAAAATGAGGCAAGAATCTAGGTTGTAAAAGACCAGTTTAAGTGTGAATATAATAATTGAAATCTATTAGACAAGATTTTAAATAATTACATTAATGTGAACTGCCATAAATATATCAGCGGCAAAGATAACGTGCAATTATATTGTAAATTATAAGAAAAAATATTGGTAATAAAAAAATGCGTCTAAATCCATAAGATAACTTTTTGTATAAAATGTTTGGAGTAAATTACGAACGCATAGTTTCATTGAAACATCGACGATCACGTTCAGGTACTAAATTTCACTAATTATATTAATCTTATTATATGTACTCTACAAAAAGAAATAATTCAAAGACATAAAATTAAAAATTATTTTCAGAATTCAAATGAAATCAGTGCTCCTTACTTTAGCCTTCATTGGCATCGTTGCCGCCGGTCCCGCCGGTCGCTTCATTAATGTTGGACCTGCTATTGTTGATCCCGTTGATGTCGGACCTGTCATCATCGACGAATCCCCCATCGATGTTGGACCTGTCATCATCGACGAATCACCCATCGATGTTGGACCCGTGATCATTGATGAAGCCCCCATCGATGTCGGACCCGTGATCATTGACGAATCACCAATCGATGTTGGACCCGTGATCATTGATGAAGCCCCCATCGATGTTGGACCCGTGATCATTGACGAATCACCAATCGATGTTGGACCCGTGATCATTGATGAAGCCCCCATCGATGTTGGACCCGTGATCATTGACGAATCACCAATCGATGTTGGACCCGTGATCATTGATGAAGCCCCCATCGATGTTGGACCTGTGATCATTGACGAAGCCCCCATCGATGTTGGACCCGTGATCATTGATGAAGCCCCCATCGATGTTGGACCCGTGATCATTGACGAAGCCCCCATCGATGTTGGACCCGTGATCATTGATGAAGCCCCCATCGATGTTGGACCTGTGATCATTGACGAATCACCAATCGATGTTGGACCCGTGATCATTGATGAAGCCCCCATCGATGTTGGACCCGTGATCATTGACGAATCACCAATCGATGTTGGACCCGTGATCATTGATGAAGCCCCCATCGATGTTGGACCTGTGATCATTGACGAATCACCAATCGATGTTGGACCCGTGATCATTGATGAAGCCCCCATTGATGTTGGACCCGTGATCATTGATGAAGCCCCCATCGATGTTGGACCCGTGATCATTGATGAAGCCCCCATCGATGTCGGACCTGTGATCATTGATGAAGCCCCCATCGATGTTGGACCCGTGATCATTGATGAAGCCCCCATCGATGTCGGACCTGTGATCATTGATGAAGCCCCCATCGATGTTGGACCTGTGATCATTGATGAAGCCCCCATAGATGTCGGACCTGTGATCATTGATGAAGCCCCCATCGATGTTGGACCTGTGATCATTGATGAAGCCCCCATCGATGTTGGACCCGTCATCATCGACGAATCACCCATCGACGTTGGACCTGTTATCATTGACGGACTCCCAATTTCCGTTGGACCAGTGACTATTGACTCCCAACTGAACCCTATGCTAGTTAAAATAGTCATCAATGTTAACTCCAAAGACCAAATTGAAGTGTCTCCAATTGATGTTGGTCCAGTTATTATTGACCCAGTTCCAGAACCTGAACCCTCACCAATAGTTATTCCTGAGCCCGTATTCCCTGAACCTCAACCTTCACCCGTCATTCAAGAAGCTGAGGCACTTAACTAAACTAGTCTAAAAAAATTAAGTTCCAAATAAATTATTTTACCTATGATTTCTTTTTTTATTTAAGTTTAATTGTATTTATTAGCCTCTGTTTTTAATTTGTTAATTGTCAAACTATCATTTAATATTGATGAAATAATTTACGTGTAATAAAATATTCAGTTCTAACTAACAAATCTTTTGGCATTTGACAGATAAAGTTGATGTCATAATATTTTATAAGTTTCTGCTATTCCTTAAGATCTACTGTATTTATTGTAGTAGATTTTTTACCTTTTCGATAAGATAGAATAAAATTAGATATGTTTTTTAGATTAACTACGCGATTTTATTATACTTTTCGACTACCTTTAGTTACTATAATTATGGGCAGACGAAAAAAGTCTACCTGTCAGTTTCAATCTGTGGCGTATACCTCGAACGATTATTTAATTTCCCCGCGTACTGCTCTGGATGCAAACCATTTGAGCTAACTGTATCTTGAGATAGATATGGGATTTTATATTAATCCTGGAGGTAGCCCCGGTATTAATTAAGTATCAGCCACCTTCTTTATTCAAAGGATAAAGAAGGATTTTTTCTTATTTTAGTAGCCCGTGCAGTAATCTCGATGTATATCTGTGATGTTATCCAAGTTAGCCAGAATACATTTAAACTATGTTTTTTGGATGAACAACAAGCAAATATTATGTTCCATCCATAGAAATTTCAACTGTCATCTGTGAGATGACAGTTGCTCTAAAATAATGGAAGTCCTTTAATTTTTTTGTAAACTCGAGGCAGTCAACACTTAAATAATGACTGTACTTTGATACTGACCGTTATCACTATAATCCTCAAGTATATATATTTTTTTATCAACATGTTAATAATTTTTTTTTCCAACTGCCTATTTCATAAAACTTTTTCACTTTGTTAAAGTGGTATTATCTATGACAACTTCTATTTATTTGTTTTTATTAATCAATCCTTTCCATTATTACGGATGCAGTCCCCTTATCAAAATGAAGGACAGCAGAGTCTTGATTGATGTCAAGCTTAGTCGATTACGCTCAAGACATTTTTTTTAGACAATTTGCACCGGTCCAAAAGATTCTACTTTCGTGACATGGTAGTTATGAAAACATACCTAAAAGAATGTCTATGAGCGGTGTTTTTGACGAGACAGTTTCAAAATCCAGAAATTTCTTTTGGAGTTCTTTTATTTATTGATGAATTTCATCCATAACAAATTTGTGCAATATTTTGCCAATATCTTGTAGGATCTCAATGGCTTATTTATAGTTCTTTAACAGATTGAATGCAGCAACCATTGTTTGTTTCCCTCCCTTTAATCCCATATTTATGATCCTTTCTTAAAATACGCATTAATTTAATATACAATTAATTTATGTATATTGTAAAATCTTTAATTCTTACAATAAAACCTGTATTTTTAACTCCTTCTTGCCATATCCTACTACTAAGTCAACTTTGAAAAATTAAGATACATTAGAAAATAAAAACACACTAAAACTATTTTAGTTTCACTTCCTGCTTTAAACCAAGTCGATTTAATTGTATTTCTATATAACTTAAGAAAAACTTTAATTATAGCCCCAAAGTCTAGACAGTTCTTTAAAGGCTGCAGTATCTGATTAAAACAGAAGTAACAATTAATTTTAATATAATTTGGATATTTATTAAAATGACAAAAAACAGAAACCTTAAAACTATGCTTAATAAACAGGCCATAAACACAAAACATAAACCACAGATGCAACTAAAATACCGGTAATAAAGCGACATCTTTTACAAAGTTGTAAACATAGATACATAAGATAAGATTTCGAATTCATTAGCATAGAGGCAAAAACATAATTATAAAAAGCACCAAAATAATAGAGTAATTAATGATTACACAAGGAAAAATAATTAAATAAGTGATTGTACGAAAATAAATAATTAATAATAGACTGATGCTTATGATGATTGACAATTAGGTAAGTCATGTATTAAATGGGGTTTTTCGTGGTCACTGATAAAACGATAAAAAATTATAAAAGTGAATGAAGATAATACGATAAATATTATCCACTAAAATGCAAAAAAAAAAAAAAACAGAAAAACATGATTATATTTTTATGAAAATCTGTATAAAAATGCTTTTTGAATGACATTAAATATATTTTGATGTACTCGTATGATGAAAATGTAAATTGGTTTTAATAAAAAAATATAATGGAGATCAATGTTTTGTAAATCTTCGATTATGAAGATACAAATTATACAAGAGAGGCTAGAAATGGCTGGTTATTCAACATGAGGTGATCTATCATTTTATCTAGGAATTACATTCTTTTTTCGCCCCATCGCCCACCAGAGTAATCCGGTGCAATCAGTCAGGGGAGGGGAGGGCCTTGAACTCCTTGTGAGGTCTGGGTCCGGGCTGGGGATGTAGCCCTGGGAGATGGGTTGGACAAGGCTCGGCGGCGGAACAGACCACCGCCTTCGAAAAGTTCGACCCTTCGGAAGACAAACGGTCATGGAAGCCGTTCATGGCTATTTTGGGGAGAGGGGAAACTCAGGTCTCTCCAGGATTCGCTTGATGGCAGTATTTAAAACAAAACTATGTACCTATATTAGAAGAGTCATTACTATTTTTTTAATTTCAACTGGATAGTGCTTTTGACTAGTAACATTATGTTTTACCCTTTTCTTGAAGACACAGAAATTATAATTGGATAAAAATACAGATACAGACAAACTGTTCAAATTGTTTGATATACTTGTGAGGGTAGAGGGGATTGAACAGCAAAAACAAAAGATGAAAGTTGAAAGTTGAACAAGACGGACAGGTTACACCTGTGGTGACTTGACTTGGAGACTAAGGATCCTTGAGATAATACATACAGCAGAACAGAATTTAACTGGTGGCTACCCCAGTAGTTGGACATTGCTCAAACATCAAGGTGACTGTTCAGACTCAACTTCCATATAACTTCGTCGGGTAACAGACTGGAATCTCAAAAATCGGTTGGAAGCATGACTTTGTCAGATGAGTGGTAACTATGAAGATTGCTGATGTTGTGGCTTCCCACCGACAGGTTTAATATTACAAGAAATAAAATGCAACAAACAAATCAATCAACCATCGATATGGTTTTATTAATTATCTAAACACTAATAATATATTTCTACTCTGAATTTTATGTAGACATTTTCGATAAGATAAACTTTTAAATTCATTTTATAGAAGCTACCAATCTGATACTGGTGGTAATTTTCTTTCAGAATAGGGTTTCTTTGGCGTTAATATAACTAATAAATTTTGCAGGCAATAAGCTGAATAGTTGCTAGTATTAATAAAAATAAAACGAATTAAAATTTTCATATTTATAGAGCCAACATATCTTTCGAACCATAAAATCTATAATCTACGTTATAAAAATATATAACTTTTACGTTTAATTTAGATTCCAGGAAACAATACTAATTTATGACAATAATATAAATGTAGTAGTGAAATAAAATAAAGATAGCTTTAAAGTCCAGAATTTTTTGTTCTACAAAAAATATTTTATTAATTTAACTCTAATAAAAGTCTTAATTCATGATTACAATTTGGTATTTTTTACGTTATGGTCAAACAATGAATGAAAATAACTTTAGATTCAACAACTATAACGACCTTGAGAGGAAAAAGGGGATAACTTAGACTAGAAGGAAAAAATACCTAAATTTGAGGTCCAGCATTTTAACTTAGCTAACAAAAGTATACCATTGAGTTTATGTAAAGTTCCCAAAAAATGAGGCACAGTTCTGGTCGTATGGGTCCAATCAAAATTGAATATGTTTTTCAATATGTTAAAATAAATTAGACAACATTATTATCAAAGATATTAATTTAAACTATCATAAATATATCAGCGGAACCGATAGCAAATAATTATATTGTAAATTACACAAAAATTTTATGTAGCAATAAAAATTTATTGTCTAAATCCATCAGATAACTTCTTGTATAAAATGTATCGAGTAAATTAAAATGTTATAGTTTTATTTCAACTTTGAAAAAAACATCAGGTAAATTAAAGTGAATTTATTGCAAATACTTTAATTGGTTTTGTTCACTTTTTTCAGTTTATATAAATAAATAACCATTATTTTTTGTGTAAATTACTAACAATAATTTATTTTCAGATTTGAAATGAAATCAGTGCTCCTTACTTTAGCCTTCATTGGCATCGTTGCCGCCGGTCCCGCCGGTCGCTTCATTAATGTTGGACCTGCTATTGTTGATCCCGTTGATGTCGGACCTGTCATCATCGACGAATCCCCCATTGATGTTGGACCTGTCATCATCGACGAATCACCCATCGATGTTGGACCCGTGATCATTGATGAAGCCCCCATCGATGTCGGACCTGTGATCATTGATGAAGCCCCCATCGATGTCGGACCTGTGATCATTGATGAAGCCCCCATCGATGTTGGACCTGTGATCATTGACGAATCACCAATCGATGTTGGACCCGTGATCATTGACGAATCACCAATCGATGTTGGACCTGTCATCATTGACGAATCACCCATCGATGTTGGACCCGTGATCATCGACGATGCACCAATCGATGTTAACCCTGTTATCGTTGATCCCAAGCAAAGACCTCTGGTCCAAGTCATCATTAACGTCAATTCCAAAAGCCAACCCGAAGTTTCTCCGATCGATGTTGGTCCCGTTATTATTGACCCCATTCCAGAACCTCAACCAGAACCTCAACCAGACCCCATAATCATTCCCGAACCAGTATTCCCTGAACCTCAACCAGAGCCAATCGTCATTCCTGAACCAGTATTCCCTGAACCTCAGCCCTCTCCCGTCATCCAAGAAGCCGAAGCTCTTAACTAAATTATAATCTACCCTACAATTAATTCTGTTAAATAAAAATGTTGCATATATCTCAGTTTTTTATTCATATCTCTCGAGTAATTACAATAAAAAATATTTTTTATTGAAAATAGTCCACAAATGGACATACATAAATGCACAAATGGACGATGGCCATATGTTACTAATACCACAAATTAGAATTTGTATATATAACATAATCTCTGCAATATTCATAGTTATTTTCTGCAATTTTATATTATTGTCGGATTACTTCACAGCTGATGACGTATACTAGGCTTGATATTTAAGATGGTAGGAGCCTAATGCCCTGCTCAAGACTATTGCCGAGGTAATACAAGAATGATAATGTGATTTAATATTTTAGTTCCGTTAAAAATACTAAAGCTGGCTTTCTTACTTCTGGGTAATAGATAACGTTAAGATTTGAGGGGAGTCCCATTATCTTGCAAAAATCCTCATTCACTATGACAGCGGCTTGCTATGTAACCCTTAATATGTTTGAGTTTTTCTGGGTGGAAAAATGGGAAAGTGACCATCCTGGCAATAATTAACGAGACTATGAACTGAAAACTATGTTTTGTACATCACTAGTATGGAGGACGTAAGTTACCCCAATCCAACTTGTATATGAAAGCCTATTCTAAAATCTACTTCAAATCTAACTTCTATGGAAGAGTGTTACTTCCCTGGTCGAGCCGGCCCAAAACAAAACTGCAGTCTGACTACATCTATGTTTTATTACCGTTTTTAGTCGAAAGAGAGTGTAAAGCGCCAGGCTAATTGTAATAAGGCTAGTTGCGACAGTAAAAGTTTTTTTAGTTGCATAGATTTTTTTGATAATTAGCATTTTACTGCTTGTGCCATAATGCTTTATGGTAGTTTTAAAAATATAAGAGAACTCATGGCAAACATGTCATATAATTTAATTACGGTCATTTTTCGTAAAGAAAGTAAGTTTATTTACAATTTTACCTATTATTCCTTTTCTGCAAAGCGGGAATTCGTTTAGTCTTATTAACCATATAAAAAGGACAAGTTTCTTAATTAATCAAGGGAGGGTATCCCTAAATTAGAAAAAAAATACTTTAATATTAATTTCGTTATCTCAAAATTTTAAAAAGTACACTATTTTGTATATATGTATATAAAAACAAATAGTAGAAAACGGACCGCATAGTATGAGTAAACTAATTATCAGATTAAAATAGCAATAAGCTACTGGACACACAAGAAGCACACCTACGAGCTCTCAATAACTGTAAAAAAATATATATTCAATTTAAGTGACATCAAAAACTGAGTAGCTGTGAAGGAAAAAAAATTTTAAACTGAAACTAATACTACTATATGATAGCTACATAAAATATGTAGTAGTATATAAAATTGCATGTTGGGGTATATAGGGATCGAAAATAAAAATAAGTTAAAACACATTACATATGTTGCCATGTGTAAAAAATATTTGATAAAAAAAATGTGTTTAAAAGTACAGTTATGGATATTTTTGAGTAAGTTAACATAAGAATAAAAAGGGGAACGACAAAAAACCTCTCATCCTGTCGAGTTATATACCTCATGAAAAAGGTTTCCCAGACTTATTGCAAACAAAATGCAAAAGATTTTACAATATATTCACTGTTATACCAGACGAAATATTTTGGTCATTAAATACGAAGATGAAATAAAACAATAATACTTCATTCATTATCTCGCTTATTTACATAAAGTTAAAAATAAATTTTTGATCGTAAAAAAAAAATCTCCAATCTACTAATATTAATCACTAACAGCTAAAGCATTTGGCAAAAAAATATTTACTCGTACCATATCCATAACTTTCACGAAAAGTATCCAAGTGTGAAAAGAAAACCTGGACTTTTGGATCATGTTGACAAACATTCGTTGGAAATAAAGTTATAAATCACCAAACATGTTTGTCGTTTTCAAATTTCATTCGTTGGAAAGTAAAGTATATTCCAAAAGAGATCTTAAATTCTAAAATACAACTGTATTTTTCTCTAAAGTTCTGAGAAAGTCGTTTTCATTCATTTTTACGTATCAAACATTTGTACTTAGACAACTGTGTTTAAATGAATTTTGTTAAAAATGTGATCCAAGTATGTGTTTTGACTTCCACAAGATCCGATAAGTTGATCTTTGCATAAATTCTAAAATACAACTTTGATTGATTTTAATCTTATACTAAAATGAAGTGCTATCTGAGAAAGTTTTTCACTAGGTATATTTTTAGTACACTTTACTAAGAAAATAATACACTTTTACGAAATAATGTAAAACATTTTTGACCTGTGATTGATCGATTTAATGGTTAGCGCACGCCAAAATAAAGTGTTTTTTTATTAATAAAATTTCGTTACTTTAGCAGATGAATGTTGCTAAAATACTATTCTTAGTTGATCACACTATTCATATAAATGTTAAACATGGTTCTTACGCAATGAATTTTATTTGCTTTTCTGAATAACTAAACAAAATAAACATTTATAAAGGAAATGAAATATCCTTATATGCAGTTTTTAAATGCTATCTATACAGTATATACATCTAAACGTACATTGCTGATTTGACATAACTAATAATTCAGACATTCGTAGTTACCTCACTGATCATGTATAAAATGAAGAAAATAGCAATAGTATAGAAAAAAATATATTGAAATCTTTTTACTAGAAATAAGTAATTTCTCATAAAATCAGCCTTTTATTTCAAAAGATTGCTTTCCTAATTGTCAATATCTAACTCATCTCGAACTATTTGAACTTTTTTAAAAAAATACAACACAAGAAGTTCGAAATGTTATACATAGTTAAAATAATAAAAAGACCTGAATTATTTTAAATAACTTGTTAAATAAAATATGTATCAAACATTAACACTTCTAAGTTCCTTATTTTATAACAATCCAATAGATAATTAAAGATCACTAATTAAAAGAAGCTACTAGATATATGTCAACATTACTTAAGAGCATATTAATTCTAAATTAAAATATTTATCTTCTGTGTACGAAATCGTTCGAAGCGAATTGTCATTACTGTTTTATAAATAATTTCTCCTAATCTCTTTTGTTATATTCCATAAACATGACTTTTAAATGACTTTTCCTTCAGTTGTTTAGTGAGTTTTATGTACATATATACATATATCCGCTATTTTAAGATAAAATTAATTTAACTTTTAAAAAATATCAAATATTATGTGTACATTGAGGAATATTACAAATATTATGTGCTCTAATAATTTTGATTTATATCCATATCATGATTCCGTAATTACGTTTTTCTTAGCTACAACTTTTACGATTCATTATACGGTTGCTTTATGTTTAAGGTCACATCTTCATTTTCAACACCAAACTGTGTGAGTCAAAGCGTGGCAGTTGACTTTTTTTACACTTATCATAAATATATTTACACATTTTGCATGAATTAAATAATTAGCGGTTCTCATTTCAAGAAACAAAGATACAGTAATATAACACATATCATGGATCCCTCTCACAGAAGATCAGTGGTAACCCTCTCACAGAAGATCAGTCTGAAGTAGTCTTTGATGGCTGCATTTCTTCCAATGAGTAAGAGAGCCGGTTGCACTTTCCTTGACATCTAATTATTTTCACAATTTCTTCCTTCATCAACCTCTAAAGCTGGCAAAACAATCGCAACATTACAACATCACAACTCTTATGTTGTAAATGTCCACTGGGGACGAATACTTTTTCTCATCAAGTAGGCTGTCTACTCGTTGGCCACCTTTGGCATTAAAAAAGTACAATAAGATAAAAATAAATAGTTTGTTAAAGTCATAAATATATTAAGGTCAGTACTTTTGAAATTTAAAGTCATGTTACAATGTTTTAATAAAATAGCATATTACACTATACAGGGTGACTGGTGAATTACTATCAATATTTAAGGAGAATACTCGGTACATGATTATGTAAAAAAAATAGGTACTTAATTTTTCACCAAATTTCCGTATAAATAAATAAAGTGTGGACACGTTGCAAGTGTTCCAAGTGTGGACGCGTGCAGCGGCGTGCTGATACAACACCACGCCGCCGCACGCGTGTGTGTGTGTGTGTATACCTAATCTGTAGGGTGTTCACACGATGCGTAATTAATTACATAACTTTTGGTTAACTTTACTTAGAAGTTTATTAATATTAATGTTATATTAATTTTTATTTTGTCATATATGATCGTCAAATATCACGTCCTCAAGTATCGATAGTAATTCACCAGTCACCCTGTATACCTTGAACTTTGTGCAATTTTTTTACTACAGATCAAAATGAAATTACTGCTTCTAACGATTTTCCTAAGTAGCTTAGTCCATGCTGCTCTAACTGGTGGCTTCCTTAGCCAAAGTCCAATTATTATTACTGGAAAAAAATCGCCCATTTCCATAGGAAAGGTGATTGTGGGCGACTTCCCCATCTCCGTTGGACCTATGATCGTGGGCCTTTAAGGCCGGCTGTATAATGAGTTATTTTTTTATGTTATCTGAGTAAATACATTTGATTACCATATTTTTAAACTGTATTGAAATTGAAGTTTCCAAATATCAAACATATATTACCTAAATTGATTATATGTTAAAATAAAATACTGACTATCCTTATAATTACATAAATTGACAGAAGACAGAAATTGAAAGAAAAAAGATTAAGAACTGAAATTATCAGTTTGCAATGTAATATGTATTTTTTTATTTATTTATGCATCTATGTTTCCTTCAATCAATATTTTATGCTCTAAATATAAACTATTTCCTTTCAATATCGTGAGCTTATCTCCCTTTTATACAAGGAAAAGATTTGCCTATTCTCCAAAAATGCACCACAGCGGTTTATATTTACCGTCTCAAATGTGGCGAAAAATATCTTTGATTTCAACAACCAGACTCTTAAATGTTTGTAAAACCGAAAAACCTACCCAGTTCATCTAAACTATTAACCACATATTTTTAATCGG